AGTTTTGGGAATGTTTGTTGAATGTTGTCTCCAGTATTAATATTAGTTGCCCAAAATATTTTTTTATTTTATAACAGTTCTGAAATTAAATAATTGGGAACTAATAGATTTGAGAGAAAATGATAAAATTAATATTATTTTAAAATTAATATTTTTATTTAAAAATTGACAAAATTAATATATTAAAATAAAACAAAGTATAAAGTTAAACGTCTTTATCTATACGCTTGCACTTTACTCATAGATTTGAACTCTCATATCTATATTAAAGCATCTTCTTCCACTTGACACTTAACCATTTTAAAGGGAGCTGATGCTTTAAAATTTATTTATAAAAACATATTAATTAGACTACTTGAGAATACTTGAACCTGTGCCCTCTTAACTGAAAATGAAAAATTTTACCGCCATACCTGCTTCATTCCATGTGTAGTATTGTGCATAACAAATTGTTGACTTGTTAACAATGATTTAATAATTTAACGATAATATCCTTAATAAAAATGAAAAATTTTAAATTTAAATTGTATTACATGAAAATGAAGTGAGGTAAGAGATAATAAGAAGATATCTTTCATTAAACATTGTTTACTTGTTATCAATTAATGGAGTAGTAGATTACTACATTCACAACAAGGAGCCTCCGTCCGGTGGTTAACTTTGACGAATGGTCCAAACATAATTAATACTGACCTAAATGCGTCGTTGAATTATAAATTCCCGACATGAATATACTATTCCTTCACGATTTTAATTTGACAAAGGTGGATTGAAGTTCAAACCCATTCGTCAAAAACGACAAGTCAAATATGTCATTTAACTAACAAAAATGAAAGACGAAAAGCCGAAACAGAATTGAAACGCCTTTTTCCCTTCCACTTCCTTCGGTCAATTTAATTTCATCTAGAAACGGGTTCATTGCTGGCAAAGAAAATAAAAATATATATATTTCTTTCAAGTGCTAAATTATTTGATTCTAAGACACTATCAGCATGTTTGGAGGAGTACAGGATTGGATTAGATTTATAGGATTGGATTAGATTGGATGTGATTTTTTGAATCCAATCTATTGTTTGCTTAATTTTTGGGATACAATGGGATTAGATATAAATAATTTTTTGTTTAGACAAAAATACCCTTTATAATTAAATCAGAATAATTTTAATTTTAATTTTAATTGTAATTTTTTATTTGTTTTACAATAATCTGTTAATAATGAAATTAATTGAAGATGGCAAAAAAAAATGAAAGTAATTATCATTCATTATTAATTAATTGGACAAATTACTAGCTTGACCAATATTTTCCTTTCTTTTTCTCGGATATCAAACAACCCAACCAACAAACAGATACCAAAAAATCATCTATAACAATTTTGATTACACATATACTTGAATTCGTCAAAAGTAAACTACAAAAGAAGCAAAAAAACCCAACAAATTTTTTGAAATTTCTTTGAATTTCCATTAGATTTGGTTCAAGTCTCCAAACCAGAGGGAAATAGAGGAAGGAAGGGGGAGGAGGAACAGGAGGAAGGAGAAGGAGAAGAAGTAGCATCAGGAGGAATGAAAGGGGCAAGAAGAAGATGTTCTCCGGTTGACGGTTGTTAACAGTGGTTTAGGAAATCGAGGAAGGAAAGGGGAAGAGGAAGAGGAGGAGGGAAAGGGAGAAGAAGCAACAGGAACGGAGAAGATTTTAGTGTCAACGCGGTGTGCAATTCTGCCATTCTTGAGCCTGGAAGAAAAGATAAAAAGGGTAAAAAATGAAAATCCAATCTTATCCCACCTAATCCGATGGGGGAACTCGGATACATTTTATCGAAGGAGCTTGGGATTGGATAAAAGTAGGATAACAATTATCTCGTCCGATAACCCCACCAAACGTGAGAAATAATGGGACGGGATAGTCCCATCCCACTGTTAGTCCAGTACTCCAAACGGGCCATATACATATAAATGTCACGATATGTTGTACATTGTATAATATAATGTGAAATTAAAAATAAAAAGATGATATACATAATATTATGAATCGATTTTTGAATAAAAAATCAATTGTATATGTTATATCATGGTGAGCACAATATTGCATGGTAAATGTTGTGTACACAACCTTTTTATTTGCACGATAAACTAATAAGAGTTTAGTTGGATTTGATATCTACTAATTTCAAACTTTCAAATTCTAGTAAGTTGCAAGATTTATTAAGGATGGCAATGGTCCCCATGGGGCTGGGGACTCCTTCCCATCCCTATTCGCACCAATGGCAGCTATGGAGATCCCCACGGGAAGTTTTGGCAGAGATTCAAAAATTACCTCCATCCCCATATTCATAGAGAATGATAGGTCCTTGCGGGTATTTAAAGTTCCCACCAAATAAAATTATCACATGCTCCGTTGCTTGTTAATCAAAATTAAGCTCAACATGGGTTTGCTTAGACTTCACTGGTTTCCACATTCATCAAATAAAACTAACTCAAATAATCATATAAAGTAAAAATTTGAAACAAGACAAACAAGTAGTAAAGATTCAAAGGACATGTTGTCACAAACAAGCAGTAAAAATTCAGAGGTCCTACTATTGCATGAGGTAAGGAGGACGACCTGAGCCTTGGAGCTAAAGGTGAGCCGTGAGCCATGAGTGGAGGCAACTCAGGCAAGTAGCCAGTCATTGTCGATTTCAGTGGTAATAACGAGGGATACCGAGAATGAAATGAGTTGCCAGTGGCTAGTTGAGAGATTGGAGAAGAGCTGTCAAGTCGAGTGTGAGTGAGAGATGGGAGAAGATCAGCGTTGCAGTGGTTGCACAATGGGTAGTGACGGTGAGAGATTGAAGGGAATCACAAATGAGGATTAAGGAATAGAAACAGAGTTATAACGCAAAGGAGACTAGAGAGGAGGAATCACAAATATGAAATCTTTGGATAGTCCTTATAGGCTTATCAATGCAAATTGGGCTGAGCAATTAGGTTCAGGAAGACTAGATTAACAAAAAGAATGGATTGGACTTGACAATTAGGTTTCAGAAAATTGAAAAAATAATGGGTTGTGAAATTTAGGTTGTATTGGTATTGGGTTAGCTAATTAGATTAGGTAAGTAAAAATTAATTGCTAATATATTTACAAATATATATATTTATATATATTTTTTATTTTACATGTTTCTCTACGGTTCCCCACAGGATGGAGAAAATTTCACGGGGAAAAAAATACCTCCATCCCTGCCCAACGGGGAGAAATATTCTTAGAATCTCTATTCTCGTGGCAGGGATCTCCGCGAAACTCCATGGGTCATGGAGGAAATTACTATCCCGAAGATTCATAATATTAAGCATATTAACCTGTCATTCATATTCTTATTTTGTCACTCAATATTTATCTTTTATTTATAATTTTTTGGCTTAAATTGATTGTCTTTTCTCTCTCTCTCTCTTTGTTACATTTTCAAATTAGATTAGTTTTAAAAAAATAATTTTATAAATTACTTTCCTCCTAATATTAGTACTTTGAAGGATGGTACTCCCTACATCTTAGAATAATAGACTTTTTTTTTATTTAGAATTTATCCTAGAATGGTAATTGTATTTTCATATTTTAGAGGAGAAAAATAATGTTTTTCTTCCTATTTTAACCGGATATTTCAAAACTACATTTGTTACATATTTCTTGTTGATTGTTTACTACAAGCAACAAACTCCTAAACAGATTTCTCTTCACCAGTTAATTGTTTATGCCTAATGGGCCTCTATTTATACCCCCATCGCATTTTCATTTATTCATCCATCCCAACTTAATATATGTCCACTATGAAAGTCTCTACTTCACAACTCTTAGGGTTCTTCCTCTTTTTCTTTTTCTACCGCTGCCAAGCCTGGGCGCGTTACAAATTCGTTGTAAGTATATATTCTGGTTTTATAATGAAAAATCAAAATACCATTGTATTATCATAAATTGTTTCTATAGGTGAAGGAAGTTCCATATACAAGTTTATGCAGCACGAAGAACATAATAACTGTGAATGGCCAATTCCGGGACCAACATTATATGTTCACAAAGGAGATACTATCATTGTAGATGTTTACAACAGAGGAAAATATAACATCACCATTCATTGGTATTACCTCAAACCAATTCAGTACTGGATATATATTAAGAAATTTGAATGGAAATTAAAGGAGATTATTACTCATATGTATGATGGTGGTGGCATTTTGGCAGGCATGGAGTGAGACAGCCAAGAAATCCATGGTCAGATGGTCCAGAATACATCACACAGTGTGCTATTTCAACCGGGAGCTAGATTTAGCCAGAAGATCATTTTCACCACCGAAGAAGGGACTTTGTGGTGGCATGCTCATAGCGAAGTGGTCGCGAGCAACTGTCCATGGTGCTGTGGTCATATATCCTAAGTTAGGAACAAGCTATCCCTTCCCCAAACCTGATGCAGAAATGCCCATCAATTAGGTATTCAGAAAAACAATTCTAAATCCACAAAAACAAAGATTTTCATTGATTAAATAAAGATTTGAAATGTTTGGATATTATTCAAATTGCAGGAGAGTGGTGGAAGCAAGATATAATGAAGATATATGAAGGATTTCTCCATTCTGGCGGCGACCCAAACGTTTCCGATGCCTACACCATCAATGGCCAGCGTGGTGATCTCTATCCCTGCTCTAAATCAGGTCCAACCTTTTTACCTGCTGGGATAAATTTCCTGATAATACATCAACGGCCAATTTTTACCGAGTCACCCTTTTGGAAATCGACTGAGTCAAACCTTAAAAATGGATCTTTGAGTAGAGGACTGCCACACTTTTCTATTTTTTTTCAAAGAAAATTGTTCACTAATATTATTGACTGCACTTTTGTTTTTTAAATATTTGCAGAAACATTCAAACTCAAAGTGGAGAAAAGCTTGACTTATCTCCTTCGGATAATCAACTCTGCCATGCAAGATATCCTCTTTTTCTCCATTGCCGATCATAATGTCACCCTCATCGGATCAGACGACAGCTACGTAAAACCATTCACAAGAAGATTCATCGCCATATTCCGGGCCAGCCCATTGATGTCCTTCTAGAAGCCAACCAAAGTCCCAATCACTATTACATGGCTGTCAAAGTGTACACTGGTACTGCGGAATCCGTCGTTGCTTTCGACAACACCACCACCGCAGCTATTGTAGAATACTGTGGAAACTACACTCCATCTTCGCCACTAGGGGTGTTCACGGTGTGGTTTTGTTTGGATTTTAATATTTTTTAATCTAATCCAATTTAATCAATTAGTAAAATTTTTAAATCAATCCAATCCACTATTATATGATAACCAAACCAATTCAATTTAAATCGGATCGGTGTGGTTTGGTCGGATTGATCGGTTTTTAACACTATTAAATATATGAGATAATGTAAATAATTTTAACATTAAGTAAAAAACATAAATATAAAATACGTTAATATCCAAATAAATAGAAATATAATTAAAAAAAGCACAAATTATAAACAAATTCTTATACTTTTTTACAATTGTAAAAATTGAAAAGATTTAGAAATTATAAACAAATTCTTAAATCTTTATCTTGATCTCCAAGAATACCCAAAAGAGGGCTGCCACCAACCTCCCAAGCTCTCTTAATTCTAAATTTAGATGGTATTTATAAAGTTTTAAAAACCCTAATTGGAATAGAAGTAGGATTTGAAACAGAATAAGAAATTTGAATGTTGGACGCTGAACGTATAGTACTGACACTCTGAATTACGTGTCGACAAAAAACAGGAAACAGAAAGTTTGATTCTGCACTATTAACCCATGGTGTCGAAACCCATATTATGTGTTTAAGAATAAGCCCAACAAAATGAAGACGACAACCTAGCAAAATGAAGACAACAACCTTGGCAAGTGCACGCCACTCAAGAAGGTAGGGTTTTAAGAATAAAGTTGCAACTCACTTATAAAGGTAGAATTGTAGGAGAATTTGAAATTTAGAATTAAAATTTATGTATATAATTTTTAAAAAAAATAAAAAATAAAATAGAAAATATAAGATATGCTATTTTTATTTTTAATTAAATCAACAGAGTCATTATCTTGTAAAATAAGAAAAAGAAAATTTGAAATATTATAAAAATATTATATTATTTAATTAAGTTATTTTATAATCAAATTTTTTTTTATAATCGGGCGGTTCGGACAGTTTAAAAGTAAAATCACAAACCAAACCAATTATATCGGTTTTAAATTTTTATAATCCAAACCAATCCAATTTTATATTGGTTTGGTTTGATTTTTAATCGGATTGGATCAGTTTAGGTCGGATCAATCGGATTGGATCGGATATGAACACCCCTATTCGCCACCAGTGTTTCCTTATCTTCTTTACTACAACGACACACAGGCGTCCGTTAATTTTGCCGGTAGTCTTCGAAGCTTAGCTGATAAGGAGCATCCAATTGATGTGCCAATGGAAATAAACACACATTTGTTCTATGCTCTTTCAGTGAACGCATTTCCATGCCCAAACAACTCCTGCGCTGGTATTCTTTTTGAAGCATGCTAATTTTCTATAATTAAAAATAAAAATAATAATTGCAAGATAAATAACTATTATTTACATCACTTAACTATTAAAAAATTATTAAAAATAATAATTGCAAGATAAATAAATATTATTAAAAAAATTACTTTAAGTAATTTTTTATATCACACTGTAGTAGATTTGTTTTTTTTTAATTTAACAATAATATAATTTTTTTATTAAAAATAAAAATGAGTATGTGATTATACTATTATAATTTATTTTATTTATTTATTTTCTTCTTATTATTATTTTTATAAAACTAATAATTTTAATAATAAAAATTATTAAAAGAAAAAATATACTTAGCGCCTATTTTGTATAGCAATTAAAATTTTGTGGATAACAAATAACAGGTAATAAGTAATTGATAGCAATAGTGAGTAGCAGATAGCAAATAGTAGATTGCGAGCGACGAATAGCGAAACACAAGGAGTGAATGGTAGATAACCGATTCAATTGATATAACTGTTTGGTTATAAAATAATTAGCTATTGTTGTTCAACGTTAAATGACTAATAAAAACATGTTTAAAAGCAATTAAGTATATTTTTTTTTCTTTTTATATATTTTATTCTTAAAATTATTAATTTTATAAAAATAATATTAATAAGAAAATAAATAAATAAAATAAATTATACTAATATAATCACACACTCATTTCTATTTTTAACAAATATATATATTATTTTAAAGAAAAATTATTGTTTCATCTAATTAGCAAATTTTGTTCATTAATTTATGATATATTAATGTAAAAAATAAAATATAATAATCACTTAATGTTTTTAAAGACAAAAAATGAAGTTGAAACTAATTAAATAAATACTAATTAAAAATTGTAGCAAAAATTAAAAAATTAAAAATGATAAATAGGTTAATAAAATTAATAAATTCAAATTTACTAGTAGTTTGGTATAAAAAACTACATAAACTCGCTTTTTAAATTCATTAACAGTTTGGATTCTAATCATTATCTAGTCCTAAATTGCTAAATAAAAATTTTACCAAATATCTTATTTGTAATGATTTTAAAATATACAAGTTTACTAAATACCTAACCTTAGTGGTTTGGGAAAAATTGCTAACCCTAAACCATTATATTAAATGGGTCCTTAATTGCTTTTAAATATGTTCTTATTATTCACTTAATGTTAAATAACAACTACAAATTATTATATAATTAAACAATTATATTAATTATAATCTGCTAACTATTATTTATCACTCGCTATTCACTACCGGCACCCATTGCCCACTATCATTATTTGCTACTTGCTATCTACTATTCATTAAATTTTAACAGTTTTACCAAATAAGCTCTTAATTTGAATCAACTCTAACAAGTTAGATTTAAGTGTTAAATTTATTAATAAATAAATATTATCTCGTAAATCATATTTAAAATTTAAGTTTTGATGTCAATATATAAAAAAATTAATTTTTTTAAATGTACTAAATCTATATGTGTGTTATTAAAATTATTAAAAAATTTAATCTCAAAATATCGTAAAATTTAACTTTAAAACTTGTTTATTGTCCAAGAGAAAGGCATATTACACCTCCTCTACAAGTTTACTGGGTTTTGATAAAAGACGAGTGGTCCACATTTTTGTAGAGGATTTAATATAATAGGGAGTGGTCTCACTGTGCAGGGGATTTTATTTTAAATTTTTATTCACTGATTTGTTTATTTTTAGTTTTGAGAGGATTGAGTAATTTTTGATAAATTCTTCCCTAATTCTTCAAAGAAAGTTGGGTTCCACATTTTTGTTTTTGGTAAAAATGAAAGGTTCTATTATTTGGTAAGTTCTATTAATTTATTAATTTCAAATTTAAAAAGATAATGCAATGAAATTAATAGTGAATTTAAATTTAATTTAATAAGATAAAATTTGAATTTCAAATAAATGACCTAATGTAAAATAGTTTTTATTATATAACATTCAAATTATATTTAATTAAGATTTTTCAATTTTGTTTATCTTGTAAATAGAGCAATAATTTTAATTTAAGTTTATCTAGTTTTCAATTATTGGTTAACAGTGAGAAATAGATAAATGGTTACCATTCTAATTTTTAAAAAAATATATTAAAATTTTCAAATAAGGTCACAGTTTGAATTAAATTTAGAAAAGAAAACATTAAAATTAGTTAATAAATAGAAAAATTATAAGACACTAATAAAATTTTAATTATTTTTAATTTTTGGGTCTTACTTCATTTTACACCTTAATGACAACAAAATTTAATAAGGTATAAGTTCTATTGATTTATCAATTTGAAATTCAGAAAAATAATAGAATGAGATTAATTGTGAATTTAAATTAAAAATTTAATAAGGTGAATTTTGAATTTTAAATAAATGACCTTATCTAAAAGAGTTCTTGTTACATAAATTCAAATTAGATTTAAGTAATATTTTTGTTTATCTTGAAGATAAAGCAATAATTTTAATTTTAATTTATTCAATTTTCAATTTTTTGCTATTAACAATGAAAAGTAAATGGATAATTATCATTTTAATTTAAAGAAAAAAAATTAAAATCTCTAAAAAAGATTACAATTTAAAATTAAATTTAAAAAATTAAAATACGCTAATAAATAAAAGAATTATATAGACACTAATAAAATTTTAGTTTTTAAAAAATTTTTGAATTTAATGCATTTTAAGTTTAATAACAGTAAAATTTAATAAGTAGTATTGGTATCTTACTTTCCATATCACATGATATTTTGAGATGGCCTGGGCAACGTCATGTTTTGCGATGCCCTGGTAACCATATTCTTGTGATATTTCTAATAATAATTGGTAAATATCGATCTATCTAGCATAGAAACAGCCAAAAAGAGTCCATAATCAAAGCAAAAATGAGAAAAAGGTGTATCAAATGATTTGGCAGGAACACGTATTACGTATTGGTATGGTAATGGTAAAGAAATTTGAGCAAACATGTAAATAAAGATGCTATTTTTATTATATTTTTGGACTATGATTAGTGCACACCCGGATCCAACACTCGGATGTGCACCCTCCACATAGAAAAAAAAAAAATGGACCGAGTGTTGGATCATTTTTTTTTTATGCGGAGTGTGCACACCCGGATGTTAGATCCAAGTATGCACACATCATTTTTTTATATTTTTTTATTTAAAAACATTAATTTTATCAGTTTATAAAAAGAGATATCAATTTTTAATGTTTT